TTAAAGGATCAACTAGTTTTGTTTCATATATTAATTATTACTAGAATCGATTGACGAATACGCTTGTTAATCGTTCGGTCCTTTCACGGTAGTAAACTTGGATTATTAATACATGCGTCTCATGGTTAATAATCTAAGAAGAATTAATTATATTGATTAAACCAATAAACTGCGCGTGTTGAGGTTATCAATCTCAATCGTTTTCATCTTAAGTTTATTGCTATTATCGGGTTAATATATGGCGCGTGTTCTATATTGACTCGATAGTAAGTTTTATTAATGAACGCGTCTCGTTATTAATAACTACCCTCGATGAATTGGATATATTCCTCGATTGAGTATTTGAGAGGAAGATAGTTAAAGATATAACCGAGATCGACGAACATTTCATTAAGTGGATATAAGTAAAGACAAGTCTTCATCTCAATTAAGTAAAACACATAAGTCGTTCATCTTAATGTTTAAATACATTTAAAGTTCATCAATCAATCAAAACCCCATTGTTACTAGTTCCGTAAAAGAAAAGTATTCCTTTCCATATGGATACGAACCTTACTACACTATACTACGTATAAGTGTTGTATTGTATTTATTTATTTTGAGTGCACACCACGACAAAGTGCACGCCACTATGCTACGTATAAGTATTATTATTGATTTTATTTTGAACCACACAACGACTTTAGTGCCTTCAAGGTCCACCTGATAGAAAAAGTAACCCAAAGTCTTTATAGTGTTTTATTGTTTTATAGCTTTCTGGTGTTGGACAAATACTATAATAGTAATAAGAAATATAAGTAATAACTTTTTTACATCTAGTATATATAGTCCAAATTTTTTATTCATCCATTTGTTCCTGTTTTCTTGATAATATAATTAAATAATGTTTACTATTTTACATTTAAATTGCTTCAATATTTGCTCTCTAAGCCTAAAAATAACTAACTAAATAATACTAGTAATATAATAGTTATAGTAATATTACTAGTAACAAGTACCCCAATTATGCTTAATTAAATTAGTTGTATTTTTTAGTCAATTAAATTACTAAAGAAGAAACCAGTTCTTCCTGTCCGATTTTGAACCAGTTAAACCGGTTCGGTTCCATATACAAAATCCGAATATATCCGGTCCAATTTTTAGTTTCTATTTTTTTGCAAATCCAGTTCCAATCCGATTTGATTCGGTCTGATTTTGAACCAGTGCACACCCGTAAACTTCAGAAAGGGGCTCATAACTGGGTCTGTTATGAGGTTTGTTGTGTAATGAGTATGAAGAGTGCCTAGGCGTTTTTTGCTTTTGAGAGTGGGCATTTGCCATTTTTGTGCGATTATACCACTGTTTTGTAATTTTATATTATGCCGCCGTGAAAATTTTAAAGAAGGAAGGTAAGAGCAGACTAATCAACTTTGCTACTAAAACAAGTCACAAAACTTTGGAGTTTTTTCCGTATTAATGCTAATTAATTAAATAAATACGGAATTAATGTTGGGTTAAAACTATTTACCAATATACTGCTGGGCTTAACTCTGGTCGGAGAAAGTCATCAAATCGTTTGACGACTTTTCCCTTCTCAAATACGTCAACACCCAAACGTTCTGTTTCAGACCGGCGCCGGTCTGGGCCTAACCGGGGCCGATCAGGGGCACCCAGGTGGAGAAAAATTGCGTTTTTCGTCCTAAATCGATCCCGTTTGACGACTTACACAACACATAAAAAACACAATTTCGTAAAAATGATACAAAGCGAGAAACAGAATTTGGTAAAAATGATACAAAATGATAAAAAGTATTAATAACACAGTATCCATTAGTTTGCAGGTGAAAATACTTTAAAAAGTAAAGTATTTCTACAAAATTTGGTGTACATTATTTCATCCAATAATAGAGAGACTACAATTTTTGAATTAATTCCACTTTAGGTCCTCCGAGTTTTGTATCATTTCCATATTTAGTCCTCTTCTTTCACTTTATCCATTTTTGGTACCTTACTATTGTTTTCTTGACCATTTGTGATCTATTTCTGAGCATTTTTACTATCGGAAAAGGACTATATATGGTCAAGAAAACAATAGTTAGGTACCAAAAATGGATAAAATGAAAGACAAGGACTAATTGTGGAATTGGTGCAAAACTCGAAGGACCATAAGTGGAATTTCTTCTACAATTTTTCATGGTCTTCTTTATTGTTTTGGTCATGGTCTTGGTCATCAATCAGCCCTGGATCCGCTGACACCTCCACAGTGCCTACAAAAAATGTGCCTTCATAGCGTATTTGGCCAGCATCCTCATAATAATTCCCTCCCCAATGACACACGATTGGGAAGTTGGAGAAATCCATATTCTAATAACAATACATGACGATAATGGATGAATATACATTAATATACACACTTTATACGCCTAAATTCAACAATCCATAGACATAAAACATATTTAAAAACTCTCATATTTAAGAAAATCATATTACATATACAACACTTAAGAAAGGAAAAATAATAAGTTTTTCACCTAAAAATATCAAAATATCACATTCAAATTCACATTACACAACAAATGCACAAAAACATCAAAAAATTACATTGAATTCAAGATTAAAATTCAACATTTCATACATATTCACATTTCACAACAAACCAATTCACAAATCAATTCCTACTTTACAAATTCGAAAATTATGAATTGAAACCATAGGTTGAAAAATGAGATCAAATTGGGGATTTGATGTACCTAGAGGTTGAAGAAGATGATTGGGGAGTGTGATGGATAGTGTACCCGGGGGTAACTTATCCGAGGGGTTACTGCGGGGAGTAACTAGAGAGAAGTCAAAGCAAATAAGTAGGAGATAGAGTCAAATGTATTAAATGAACTCGTTGTGTGTTACAACGGGAAAAAGGGCTGCTATTTATAGTAGTAAAAATGCCAGACGGGGACACGTGTCAAGCATCCGACGGCCAAGAGTCATCTCAATCGGGGTGGCACCGGCACTATCATGTGGCCGCATTAAATGCGGTGGTTGGATGTGACGTTTGTACTTGGTACGGTGATCCAGCGCATGTGAATGGGAGATTCTGACGAAGAGGATGCCTTCGGCTGTAGATGGCAGTCCGAGGGCTCCTCATACCGGGGGACTCACAGTGTCGAGGGCTTCAAATTGCCGAAGGCTACGGTTTTCACCGTTTTCTCCCAGTGGTTTCGTATGCTTAAACCAGTTGTTCTGTGATAATTTGGAGCCTTCAACCAGGGAGGCGAAGGCGGCTGTATGGGCACCGTGGGCTTCCTGTTACTCGGGGCACTGTGACTTGGGCCTATTGTGCTTCCTGGGCTTGTTGGGCCCTTGTTAGAGTAGTATGAGGCTATGGGCCGGGGGTCCCTGGGCCATATACTCCATCAAGTGTATTTGGTAGGTGGAATGGCCTCTTAGTAGATGTAGTCGCCGGAAACCGTTGCTGCAGTTGCTCTTCGCCGCACCTTGATCTGTGGTTTCAACCGCACTTTGACTCATATGTCGCCAAACCGTTTGACGACTTTGCCCGACCAGGGTTAGTCCCAGCAGTATATCGGTAATAACTTTTAACTCAACCATAATTTCGTGATTAATTAATTAATTAGCATTAATCCGAAAAAGATCTCAAAACTTTGCGGTATAGAAAATTGGCCTATGTTGAATAAAACCAAAGTACATTGCAAAACATGCATTTTCAAAATCCGTGAATTATACATTTCATTTGAGATTTTTTTTAATTACATGTACTGTTGCATATCTTTCCAATAGAAGAAAATAAGTACTCCGTAATAAAGATGAAACATCAGGATCCACTTTTGGTACCTTTTTATATAAGTACATTAGCAGTCCATATTAAGCTCCACTTTTAGAAAGTGGAGCTTATTATTTATTTTGACGTGGTATACAACATACTCTTTTTACACATTGAATTTTAAAATATTTATTAGATCAATAATCATGATTAGTTCTTATTTATTTACTGCAAAAGTCTTTTTATTTAAATCAAAAACTTAAAATCGTCTCGACTAAGCAATTTTGTTTTTATTATTTTTAAAAAGTACATGATATATATCCACCTAACTATAAAAACTCACAAAGTGAAAGAGACGACACACAAATAGCAAATGTAAACATATATATCCTCCAATGGGATCAATAGTAACAAAAATTTGTATAGGGATAACATGTTTTAGAATTTTAAAATAATAGGACTATAGTTTTTTATTTCCTGAATAGGATTAGTCTCAAGTTTGAAAAAATGTTATGTTTAAATTAAAAGCTTAAAGCCTAATAAATACTGTCAAAATATTAAATATGACAATAATAAACTCCTTTTTGAGAAATAAAACATATTAGAATCACGAAGCACTTTTACTCATTTTAGAACAATTTTTTAAAACAATATTATGAGAGCAAAAGATAACTAGTCCTACTAATAAATTTAGGCCATGTTTTATTGGGTGATTGTTTTAAAATGCTTCAAAATAAACTGGCAATTCAAACCAGGGAAACGTGCCCAACGTTCTGAAAAAAGTATCGGTTTTGGTAAGGCGGGGCCCGCAGGAACACACTTGTCCACATACTCCAGCGGTCTAGTGTAATCTGGCATGCATGGATTCCCTTTTCTCGTGACCATCCAAATCAAACAATTAATTAATGAGTGTTTTAATTAATTTAACCATTGATCCAAAGGTGAAATCTCTGATCCCAAGAGCCCCACCTCGACCCGATTGATGGTAAGGAAGTTTGTCACTGTGACTCAATTAATAGAATGGTAGTAGGCACATACACTCGTGCGCACCAGAGACTCAGCCTTATTTCAGGTTCTATGACTTCCATTCAATCTTTGCGGAGATTCAAATCTTGGTCTATTGATCTAAATCTTCCGTCACTGAACCAACTGAACTACCCGTGCGGATACATAAAAATTTAACCAAAAATGGGGTTACGTTACGTTTCAACACATAAGAAATGTGACCACCTACACCCCACGGGCCCCACTTTCCCCCATCTGCTAGTCTAGCTAATGTCCGGCCTATATATTCAGATCTAATCCAAACCATTGATATATTCATATAGATCCAGCTGCTTAATTAGCTAATTAATTTAAGTCCGAGCCTGAGAAAGATCATATCAGCCATGGCCACCCTCACTTTCCCCGACCAACCTTCTCCCGTTGCTGACGCCGAGGCTATTCGGAATGCATGCAAAGGTAATTTTAATCAAATTCATAAGCTTTTTAATTTGTTCAAACAAAAATAACTATTATACCATTTTAATTCGTTGCATTTTTTATGAATTTCTTTCACATAAAATGTGCTGGGTATAAAGGTTGGGGGACGAACGAGAAGAGCTTAATCGGAATAATTGGGCACAGAAATTGGGTGCAGAGGAAACTGATCAAGAAAGCATACGAGGATCAGTACCAGGAAGATCTGGTCAAATGCCTTGAGAAGGAGCTGTCCGGCGACTTTGAGGTTTTTTATCATTTTATTTACTCCTTTTTCTTTGATTATATTATCAATCATGTGACGAACGTTATTTTGATTTAATATATTAGTTTGATTTGATGATCAAAAATTGATGATGAAAAATAAATGTCCTGTGATTTCTTGAGGCATGATCTTGGAAATTAAATGATCATATCTATGAAAAAGCTACCGCAAAATATAGGTATCAAACAATGCATATATGTTGAGGATTATGAACTTTTTTAGATTTAACTCTCTGTGCTGGGGATTTGCTGATTTAGATTCGTAACGTTTTGTGTCATTTAAATGTTTTTGGGTGAATTATTTTGAAAATTATTCTGTATTAACTAAACCCATAAACTATGAAAATACTGCGCATTACCCGTTTGGATATGTAACAAAAATAAATGGAGCCATTTTTTGCTTGACATCATGTCATTTAAGACATGAAAAAGTGATATCAAACCATCAAATAAATTAAAGGCCGTTTCAAAGTGTATATTAAAGGTTGTTTCAAAGTAGGCTCAATTATTTGATATTTTAATATTAATTTTTTATAGGTTAAATGACTGAATTTGTAGTGGAGAATAACGAGTATTAATTTTTTGATACTCCTCAGTCTCTTATAATTTTTATAATTTTCTTTTTTAATTGTCCTCTAAAACGTTTTCACTTTTCATTTTAAATAAGGAACTTGTAATTTTTATTATTTCTTATTATTTTATGTGAATCAATTTTGGCAAAATTATAACATACCGTTGAAGTATTGTGAATAGTCATTTTCCGAAGTTTGTCCATATTAATGACTTTTATAACTGATGATGTGTTTACTTGAATTTAAATTTTCTGATCTAGTTTACTTAAGTTTTATTTGATCTCAGCTAGTATGCGACTAAAATAAATCAAGTAAAAACATTACAATTTTTGGCCAAAAACTAAAGAGTAATGCTTGGTGTACACTTTTTTTGTACATATTTTGTATACAACCTTCCCAAATTTCTGATAGGGCAGCTTCTTAACGAATTGTTTATGTAGATAGACAATTAGGAAGTGTAAACAAAAAGTGTGTGTTAATTACATAACTAAATTTGAGATTATGGAGTTCAATTGGTTTAGGTTCCATGACTATTAATTAAAGTTGAGTAACTCAGCCTTATTGGTTTTAGTATTTTAATTAGTTTAATTGTCAGCATGACCAATAACATGATAAATACTCCCTCCATCCCTTAAAACTTTGTCAACTTTCCTTTTTTTGATGTTCCACTAACTTTGCCATTTTTCATTTTAAATAAAGAATTTGTGGTTCCAGTCAATTCTCTCTCCCCTGCACAAACCTTCACCACATAGTTTTTACTTTATTAATTCCCGTGCCAGTCAAACTTGGCAAAGTTTTAAGGGAGGGAGGTAGTATGTTTGACTAACTTTGGATATTGGGTGAAATAAAAAAAAACAGAAAGCTGTGTACCGATGGATGCTCGATCCAGAGGACAGGGATGCGGTGTTGTTGCACGTGGCGATAAAACAAGGAACAGTCCCCGACTATCGAGTCATCATTGAGCTCTCATGCATCTACTCTCCTGAAGAGTTTCTGGGTGTCAAACGGGCCTATCAGGCCCGCTATAAGCGCTCTTTTGAAGAAGATCTGGCCCAACATTCCACCGCAGAGTTTCGCAGGGTACGTACGTACATTAATTCTGAAATCAATTGTCTTTTTTGAGGTTTTTACCCATTTTCGAACTGAAGTAATTTTTTAAATACACTCGGGTGCTAAAATTATGATATCATGGTTACTTTACATCTTTCAGTTTTTTTTTTTTTAAATTGGGTTTGAAATAACAACAAAAGAAACTAAATTCCAAGCTTATTTATTTTTACATCGAAATGTTTGACTTTTTGAAATCATAACTACTCTCAAAGAAGATTCGGAAAAAATTGATGTATAATAATATAAATAAAGCTTCAATTAGAAAAAAACTTTGTTGGGTGAATACAATGAGGATGCTGGATTGCAGGAAAAATAAAATTGACCGAATGAATACATATAAATCGATGCAGTGTGTTTTCCGAAAAATAAACTTATTAGTTACAAGACTTAAATCGCAAATTAAATCTTGTTTTGATTAATTAATTTGTGTTGGGGCGGGTCGGGTGTTTTTTTGGTGGATGCAGCTTCTGGTGCCCTTAGCAGGTGTGTACAGGTATGGTGGGAACGAGATCGATGTGAAGTTAGCGCAGGCGGAGGCTGAGGTGCTGCACGGTGCGATCAAGAAGAAGGAGTTCGGGCATGAAGAAATTGTGAGGATTCTGAGCACCAGGAGCAAGTCTCAGCTCATTGCCACTCTCAATCGCTATAAAGATGAGCATGGCTGTTCAATCACCAAGGTAGTATTTACATATACACCTTTTTACATATATAAAATATAAATTAGGTAGATTATATGGTACCTATAAGGTATCATACCTTTGTCCACCACTAAGAATGTAACAGTTGAATCATTTAAATCTAAATTAAAAATGATAAAGTAATGTGGTCCAATCAAATGAATGATAGGTACGGTACCTCATTTTTTAGAAAGGTATCGAAGCTGTCTCTTATAAATTAACCCAAAAACAAATACATTTAGACTAAGTAGGATCAAATCTGATTTCAACAAGAAAAACATAACACAAAACAAAATATTAGACCACGTTGGGCCAACGTGTATACTCCTTTATTGGTATGTCATTTAATGCATAGATGATACCTTAACTATTGATATTGTTACGTTTTAGTATCACAACTCTTTAATGAATCAAATCAGTATCATAACTATACATAATTGTTTCAACTTACAATTTTATTCAATTTTGTGACAAAAAATCATACTTGATAGTCAGAATTCTATGCGTAAAGTCAACTTCACTTTACTTTTGTCCATTTCATCATTGTAAGGTGACTCTACACGTGGAATTTTGATCCCCATGTAGGATTTTTTTGTAACAAATTTGAATAAAACTGCAATTTGAAACATTTATGTGTAGTTTTGGTATTGATTTGATTCATTTAAGAGTTAAAGTACCCAAACGCAACAATACTAATAGTTAATGTATCATTTATGCATTTCACCCTCTTTTAACACATTAAATGATATAGCTTGTTTAGTTGAAATTTTAACCTCCAAAAGCTAATAGTCACCAAAGAAGTAAAAAGGTCTACCGATACTTAGGATGTTTTTACTTGGAGTGTAATTTGTTGATCTGGTCTGATATGGTCTGATCTGGTTTGGTCTGGTTTCTTTGTATTTTTATAACTATCCAAGTCTGGTCTGGTCTGGGAGGAATTACCGTCCAAGTAAAAACATCCTTAAATGAATAAATTGAGAAACTCAAAAGTCAAAAGCCAGTGAAGTTCAATTTGTGAAAATATGTGTATTTTTTTCAATTAGTCCAGGCAGGAAAATTGTTGTGGATAAGGGATTTTTCATCTTATTGTCGAGTTGTCTCAAAATTATATTCACCCTTTCTTTTTCGTAATCTGCGCTTAGTGAAAGAGTCTTTCACCCCTATATCCTATAACTTCGGAAACAGTCTCTCTGTGATTTAGTACAGGGGTAAGACTGCGTACATCCGATCCCCCTTACCCCACCGTAGGTGGGAGTCTTTGCGACACGGGGGTAATGATGATGATGGTGAACCTCTAATATGAGCCCATAACAAAAACTCGTGATGTGGTGAATTGTAGCATTTGAAGGAAGATTCGGCGAACAAATATCAAACGGCTCTGCGTGCAACTATCCGATGCATTACTGATCCACAAAAGTACTACGAGAAGGTAACCGTTCAATCAAATAATTAATCTACAAGATAATGTGGAAGCAAGTGATTACATTGTTAGGTAAAAATTAGGTGATTCGTCACGCATTGGCCAAATCGGGGACGGATGAGGATGCATTGACGCGGGTGATAGTGACAAGGGCAGAGAAGGATTTGAGGGAGATCAAGGAGCTGTATTTCAAGAGAAACAGTGTCACTCTGGATCAGGCTGCTGCCAAAGAGACTTCTGGCGATTATCAGGCTTTTCTCCTCACTCTCCTGGGAAAGCCAGATCAGTGATAGCTGCTGCTTTAGCTTGCTTCTGATGAATGAGTGAAGGAATGCTTATGGGTCATTTATATATGTTATGTGTGTGATGCTTTCCGTTTTGAATGAACTTTTCTGGATTTGTCGTTGGTACATTTTCATATGTCTTCATGCTGTTTGTTTTTCAATTTTGAGTATGTGTTCCATGAGTCTTCAGTTAGTTTTGTGTTTTGAAGTCAAACATTAGATTGGTGTTGTTTGTTTTAATTATTTGAGGCAAGTTCAAGTCAGGGTAAATGGCAAGTTCATCATTGAACTCTCATGCATCTACTCTCCTGAAGAGTTTCTGGGCGTCAAACGGGCCTATCAGGCCCGCTATAAGCGCTCCTTCGAATAAGATCTGGACCACCATTCCACCGCAGAGTTTCGCCCGGTACGTACGTACATTAATTCTGAAATCAATTGTCTAATTTGTGCTCGTAATTCATAATTTTGTTTAACTTTTTCATTGGAAAGAATATTAATTTCTTTTAGAAAATATGAGACAGTGTATTTTCCAAATAAATTTATTAGGCTCCTCGCAATCCGGAGGATAAAAACTAAATTTGAGTTTTCGCCCCAAAAAACATTCAAACCCATGTATTTGGAAGGTGCCAAAGTGGATACATGGCCCCATGGGCGGAGCTAGGGGTGGGTCAACCTAGGCCATGATTCACCCCAAATTTTAAAAATGGCTTAATTTATAAGGTAAAAAATTTCGTGTAATTTTTTTCTAAAAATATTCTTTGTACCGGTCCAGTCCCATCCAGTGCCCTGGCTCCGTCCCTGCATGGCACTCAAGATAGAGGGATTTGGCACCCATATTCACCCATTGCATTGCCGAAAGAAAGAAAGGGGAAGATAAATTGAAAAGGCCACCCCAAAAAAAGAAAATCTCTTTTTACTAAAAAGTGTTAAGTATTTTTTTTATTTGTACTTCCATTTGTATAAAAATATATATTAAAATTCATAACTTTTTTATCTTTCATATGATAGGCATGTCAAAAAACACCCCTTATCCCATAGTAGGTAGGAGCATTTTCCGTGATGATGATGATTAAGTTTAGAAAAGATGAGATTTTACCATGAAATCACCTATTAACTCGGAATGGAGATTATCAATCAGGGGTTTGTCGTAAAGTTGTTGATAAGTTTCTCTTATCTTCTTCTGTTGGCTTGCATTTCTATGCCCCATAACTCTTATGATTTCTTTCTTATCAGTTCCCCGTCCTAAACATAGACAGAACTTCCTTAAGTCCTTATACCCAATTCCACAAATGACATTGTTGAAAACAGAATTGTTACGAGGCCCTGAATTGTAATCCTGTGAAAGTTCTTCAGAGTTGGTGAAAAAATGGGAACCCAGAACTACAAAAACTGTAGAATATGAAGGAGACCTTTAAATGCTTTCATGATCCTCTCGCAGTCCTATGTTGGAGAAGGAATCACTTCTCGTAATTTCAGCGTACTCATTTTTTCGTTTTTCTTTTGTCCCCAAATATTTTGATGTATTGTGATCGGTAGCTATGGAAGGTGATAGCTGAGATTCAATTTCTGTGTTGGGTACAGATGTTTCTTCCCCATTACTACTGGGCTTGATAATATAATTGGGAACTGGTAACGTAATCTTGAATTGCTCCATTCTTAAATTCTAATGGGAAAATATTGACTACTATATAGCGGTTTTTACTCCTTACTTTGACCATCCTGTTTTTGAAATTACCGTGGTATGTAGTACGTACGATAGTATTTTATACGGAGTAATTAGTTTTGAAAAAATTACATAAATATTACTAGTTTAAAACAGATGGAACCTTTCGGACTCCCTGCGCTTCTCATGTTGTTTTCCGACTTCACACGAACATTTGCCACACGCGTGCGTGGCTGCCAGTGAAATTTCCGGCTTCTCTAGTTCGAATTTGACAAAACTTCCTTCATGATAGTTGTAGATAATGAAGTCCTCTATCCACCACAACTTACCGAATTGGATTTGAATCATCAAATCAAGAGATATGAATAAAATGGTGGAAGGTCTCATTCTGAAATCTCAACAGGGATCATCTCATTTTATCGTCTGTTTTCACCTTCTTCCTCTCAGATTTTTGCAATGGTGTCTTCATATGATTTATAGCCCTTTAAGTTGGCTTTCATATGCAACTTGAATCGTGTCCTTTGGATGCTTCTAAAAAGAGATATGTTTGAACGATTGACATAAGGACATTCTGAACGTCGTTTTCAAGCTCTATTTGTCTTCTTTTGATCCCGTAGCCAATCCTAAAGCTCTTTTGTCATCAAATCTTCATTGGTGAACCTCCCAGTGACCTCCAAAGCTATCAATTCACTCACGAATGCTTCTCAAGTTGTCCCGATTTCTCTTCAAGCGCCAGTGCCGGACTCTAAATTCCTGATTTTGACTCCAAATAACACAAAACTCGAACCGACGCCTGGTACACATAACTTGGGCTAAAATTGAGATTTGTGACACCTAAAAGTTAGGGAAATCATAAAAAACCGATCCCAATATGCATCAAATGCATGTTGTAATACGGACTTATCACAACCCTACCCGACCCTATTTAATCGGGTATTTGATTTTAAAAATATGCATGGGTTAAATATGTTTGAACCCGCACCTAATGGGTAGGATTGCATAATTAAAATCTCAAACCCGATAGTACCCGACCCGTCGAAGTTCATTTTACTATTATTATGCTATGATGTTTTCTTGTATAATTTCAATTTAAGACCAATGTGCTCTATCTAGGATTTTATGATATTAGAATTATAGCTAAACATTTACCATTTTGACTAGGTGATTATTATATATTTATGTTTCCTTCTAAATGACTTCTTTTACGGAAGGATGTTGTAATACTATTACCTAATGTTTTTCCTTATAAAAGATATGAGTACTTGTATTTGTTTGTGTGTTATGGAAACAAGTTAATCGAGTTTTAAATTAGTTACACTAATTACCCACATGAAAGATGCAACCCGAGTGATTTTTTTTCTCAATACCCGACCCGTTTATACATGGTTTACCAACTTATTTTGCGTGCCACAGTTTGATTAAAAGCCAACCCGAACAAATCGGGTAGGCCCAAGAAATATAGCAAACCCGACCCAACCCACCCGATGTGCAGCCCTACTCATTTCTCAGCTAAAGGCTTGTGTTTATTGGAACCGACCTACCTATATACATCAATTTGGTCGGATCATCTCAACCACCTTGTGTAGCGATCCCGGCGTCTACCGCCGAAAACATCGAATGCAATAACATCTTTGTGGAGCTCCGACAGCGCCGTTCGGGGCGGCTTAACGTGGTTGCGGCACAATGGGCATGTCATACGGCCCGTGCCCAACCACCTATCCAAACACACCCTATGAAATACATGCTCACACCTTAAGTCTCTGACCTCTTCCCCTTGCTCTATCTTGCATAGACAAACAGCGCATTCCACGCCACCGCCACCCTCTGGCCCACCGTCGAACTGCCTTACTCCGACCTCCAGCGACACTCCCGCCGCCGCCGCCACGAACTTGTAAGATGGTCGAGCTTGGCAGAAAGATTGAAGGAGAAGAAAATCCCAGGCCCATTTTAGCTGAGTAGCAATGAGAAAGACGTAGTTTAGGAAGGTTGAACTGGGGAACGTTTTAATGGCTTTCTTGCAAAAATAAGTTCAGATTATTATACAGAGGAAGAAGAAGAAAAGAACTTGGGAGACTGGTCTCATTTTTAAAAAATAAACTAATTCCTTCGTCTTCCTTGATCAGGAATTGTTCTCATTCGGGTTCTTGAATATATCTATTTATAGATGGAAGAATGATTGAGCAGTGGAATATGCATATTTTACTTTTTTTTGGGTCACGTTTTTCAAACAATTATTTTATTAATTGGCTTGGTACGTGTACCCATGAAAAACATTTGTTATACTCGGTGAGGAGTAGCCTATACTGCACACAAGTTGAAATGTAAGTTATGTTGATAAGAAATATAATTGCAGACAAGTTGAAATGTAACTTATCCAATACGAAGTATAAGAAATAAGACATTAACTTCAATGTAAACAATGTAAATCAAGGAGTCCAATTTCTCAATTAGTTTAGGTAAATAGTGGATTTGTTTTGTTTTTAATATTAAGGTCATAAAAATGTTTCTTTACAAAAATTCTAAAAATCATTTTTTTTGTATCAATAGCAGAGTTTATTTGTGATGTAGCTCGTGTTATAAAAATGTAAATCGTGTTAGTGGAAAATCTAACTTATGTGTATGCAAAATCAGAGTCGTTTAGACTTGTACAAAAACGGGCTCGGACCGGGCTCGGGCCGAGCTTTTTATAAATTTTCTGCCCATCATGCGTGGGCGGGCCCGGCCCGGCCCGCAAAAACGGGCCTAACCCTATGTCCATACCCGCCCATAAGAGCGGACCGGGTAGTCCATCGGGCCGCCCGACGCGGGAAAACTTTAATTTTTTCAAAATTATATGATTTTTTAAATACTTTAAAAATAATATTACAACATTTAGAAAATAATTAATATGCTTATAATGTTTATACGTCTTTTACCACATACAAAAAAAATACTTACACAAAAATAATAATGAGAAACTATATCTAAAATTTAAAATTTAAGCACAAAGTATTATCTTTAAGTACAAATATAGATATTATATTGGTTGGGCTAGTTGTTAAGAACTAAAAATTTAAATTTAAACATAATAAACTATAAATATGTATAAAGAAAAATTAGTAAATATAAATATACATGTGTATATGCAAATAAATAAATAAATTAGTATATATAAAAATATATATATTTATATATACTAAATGTAGCGGGCCGGGCTTATCGGCCCGAACGGGCCTACACCCTACCCCAAGCCCGCCCATATCTTATTGTGGGCCGGGCTCGGGCCGGGCCGGTGGGTAAATATATATGCCCAAGCCCGCCCGTTTGTGCGGGCGGGCTAGGCGGGCCGGGCGAGCCGGCCCGATTTTGTCCAGGTCTAGAGTCGTTTAATAAATTTGGAGGGCCCATTCTAAATACTAAAATGGGGCTTCCAACACCGTGCCTTCATCCTTAGGTCATGGCCTTCAAACGGAAGCCTTCGGCCATGAGCTCTCAGCGCTCGGCCTCATGCTAATGCCTTCATCCTCAAGTTCCAGGCTTCAGACGGAAGCCTTCAGTCATGAGCCCTCAGCGCTTGGCCTTCATTCCAGCACCCTCATGACTAGTGCCCACCC